GGCGGCTCGCTGTCGGCCCGCCACCCCGCCCCCCGCCTACGTTGCGCCTCTCGCCGACGACGCCTCTTGCAGCCCGGTCTCCGCCCTTGCACGGCGGATACTGGACAAGGCCGGGGCGACGCCCGAGGACCGCTGCTCCCCTGAAGAGCTGCGGGCGGCGGCGGCCGCCGCGGCCGCCGCGGCCGCCGCGAAGGTCGGCGCCGTCAGTGGAAAAGAGGAGAGCCCGCTCGTGGGCGTCCGGCAGCGGCAGCGGGCGTGGTTGCACCGCGAGACGGAGAGCGCGTCCACGTGGCTGCATCGAGCAGAGGGCGCCGACGACACCGCCGGCACGTCGGGTCTCCAGTCAGACGCGGCGGATGACGCGTCTTCGTCGGCGACGCTTGCCCAATTTGCAGACATTCCGCCCATGATTCCGCCGCCGAATGCCGTTTGAGTGTCTTGTCTGTGTGTGACTTGTGTGTCGCTCCTGTATCTGTTCATTGTATATGTGTACCTTATACGCCGCCATCTAAGCTTATACAGTTACGCCGCCATCTCCAAGCAAACGACTAACGTGTAACGAGGCCGGAGTGCAGGAAGCGCGATCTTAGTTCTTACGATCACAGCACACCGTCCTCCACACACCCGACACCCGACGCACACCCGGCGCCCGGGGCGCACGCGCTCGCAGTCGCAGCGTTGGTACGGCTTTCGGCTTTACCAATTAAAGCCGTACTCCCGTGTGCGCCTCGTCCTGCCGCCGCCGGCCGCTGGTCGGTCCACGCGCCGAGGCGCTGCAGCAGAACAGCGGTGATCTCCAGACACCGGCGCCGGCCCGCCGGAAGCTGGGCACTCCACACCCCACACAGCCACAGCCGCCCCTCGCACCGTAGGTACCACTACCCCCCCAAATGACCCAATTCACATGTCAACGGCGTGCGAGAGAAGTCGCACGGTGCGCCATCGGCTAGGCCATCGGCCATTGCAGGCATGTGCTCGACCTCTTTGCCTGAGAATCGCACGCCAGGTGACCTCCACGAAGCTGCCCGCTGCTATCGATGTGCCGGAGAGGTGATTCGCGCCGAGGAACCACAGCACAGCACGGCGCAGCGCATCGGGGCAATGGAGGGTAACGCAATTGTGTGTGAGCGAATGGCACGCTATGCTTCGCGACTCCGGGGCCAGCTGCGGCGTCGGTGCGGTCGGCCTCTCCCTCGCCGCAGCCGCGGTGGGCCTCCTCGTGCGCCTCCTCCTCCTCTGCTGCTGCTGCGCCGCCGCCGCCCAGCTCGCCCCCGCCGCTGCCCCCGCCGCAATCGCCTCTGAGGCCCTCTCGTGGGTCGAGAGAGTGGACGCCTCTTACTGAGCCGAACGTCCGGGCCGGAATTCGTGTCTGTGTGCGCGATTCACGCATGCTCGAAAACTTTTGGGGCGCTCAGCTGGGTGGTGCAGCGTGATTACACTCGCCAAACTGCCCTACTATACTATCTCTTAACACTACAGGGTAGTCACTACGTGAAGCGTCGGGCATTCTCCTCGATGGCAGCAGTGAGGCTCTCGCGTTGCGGCTGAAGGGTCTCTCCAGCGGCTGAGATGCCGGATGTAGACGCCTCGTCCGTGTCAGTCGGCAGGGGGGAGCGCATACATGCAAGAGGGCGACGTTATGTTTGCATGCGCACGTCCTGCTCCCCGTCTCTTTAGTCTCTTTTGGAATCGGGCCCGCTGGAATTAGGTTCACGAAACCAGGGGAGCTGTGGAAGATTAAATGAACTCGGGGGCACGGGACGCGGCACAAACGGGGCACAAACGCCAGGCTACAAAGACGGGGAGGCACGTAGTGACGCAGGGGAGTCTAGGCGACGGCGGCGTCCTCCGACGCCGCGGCGAGCCTGAGCTGTGGAATTGCTATTTACTGAATGGCGTCAAGAGCCCCCCCCCCCCCCCCCCAACTCCCACCCCGATCCACCCTGCAAGGCGCACGACGACACACCCCCAAGTAGGGGAGAAACGCGTGGTTAGGTCGGTCGAGTGCACCCCAGTCCCATCTTCTTGGTTTCCGTTTGCCTGTGTGCCAGTGCGCGCCAGTCCCGTGTGGGCCAAAGAGAAAACTTTCCAGCGCAAACCGGCGCTCGCCGACCCAAAATCGACTGCCGACGGGCTCGCTCTCGCTCGGAAAGTCATGCAGCACCTTCTTCTCGCCACGTCGCGCCCGACCTCTCGTGCACACCCACGAATGGCTTCCTCCTCCGAGACGGCAATCTTCGGCATGGGCTGCTTCTGGGCACCGCAAGAGGCATTCCAGGACATGCCAGGTGTCGAGAGCGTTTTGACAGGCTACGCAAGTGTCGAGCCGCGGCTTAACCTCGAGCCTCCATCATATTTTCCCGTGTGTTCCGGAGACGGCTACACTGAGGCCGTGAGGGTGACGTATGATCCCTCTGAGGTAAGCTATGAGGCGCTGCTGCGTGTCTTTTGGGCCAACCACGACGCCTCGCTGACTACGCCTGGCAAGGAGGACCAGTACCGCTCCGCTCTCTGGCCAACGGACGAGGCGCAGCGCCTCCTGGCGGCCGCTGACGTCGAGCGCGCCGCCGCAGCTTACGTCGCCGCCGGCAAGGATCCTCCCTGCACGGTCGTGGCGAAGGCGCCGCCCGCTTTCACGCCCGCCGAGCCGTACCACCAGCACTTTTGGGCTAAGGGGCGGCTCAAGCTCGGCCTGCTCGTCGCGCTGCTGCTGCTGCGCGGCGCGGGCTCGTCACAGCTCTCCCTCGCCGCCGACGTCGGCACGCAGCTGGTGCTGCTGTGGTGGTTTGTGGAGTGCTTTGGGCTGCTTGCGGCGGCGAGCCCGTTCGCGGAGCTATTTTGAGAAAATAATACCCATCTACCGATGAGCCTGACAAACACAACAATGAGCCTGTCCGCCCCGGGCTGTGTACGAGTACGACTGGTGACTCTGCAGACGCCGCTTAAAAGCACGTCCAAGCACCACAGCGCACAGGGAATGCCGATTCGGAATGGGCTCGCAATGCCCATGGGGTTTCGTGTCCGTTTTCTTTATCTCCGTGCCAGAGCGCGCCAGTCCTGTGCGTGCCTGTTGCGCCACGGGGTTTCTCTTTCCCTTGCGGAAGTGTTTGATTTTTTGCCCGTGTTAGTGCCAGCTTAGCGCCCTTGCTTGGTTCTTGTAAAATCCGTTTTGCTCGTGTGCCGATGTGTCTAGTGTGCGCCAGTCCAGAAAGAAAGAAAGAAAACAGACAACCCAAGGGAGGGATGGGAGGACGGCACGCCGCCACCACACAGGGATTTTAATGCACCAGTCCACGCCACCGGCTCGAAAAATTCTTTTTGCCGTGTCAAGAACCGCCAAGATCCGAACTCCTTCAGGAGGACGCCAGCTGGGAGGACGCCCTGCTCAGTCCAAGCCATGTCGACGCTGTGGACCAGTTCACTGTCCAGCTCACTGGTGCAACGCCGGAGGATGCCGCTCAGCGTCCTGCAGGAGTGCGAGGTGGCCCAGCCATACTCCGAGTCTGAGGCCCTCAAGCCAGACCGAGACGCCGCGAGCGGCGAGTCTGTGGTGGTGTACACAGATGACAGAGAGGCAGAGGAGACCAAGACCCCTCGCATCCTCCTCGGCACGCTCCTCGGCCTGCTCCTCGGCCTCTGCCTCCACATTCTGGCTCAGGGGCTGGCTGGCCTCGAGAAGATGGCCCGCCGCGTCGGTCTCGACCGTCGGCGGTGGTCGGCAAAGGACAAGGTAGTCGTGATCACGGGCGCTTCGTCTGGCATCGGAACGAGCCTCGCCCGCACCTACGCTGCGGAGGGTGCCAAGCTGTCGCTTGTTGCGCGGCGGCGGGCCGACCTCGAGCGGGTGTGCGAGGAGTGCATGGCCCTCGGCGCGAGCAGCGCGCAGGCGGTCGTCGCCGACATCTCCACGGAGGAGGGGTGGGCGGCCGTCCGGGGCGCCGTGCCGGCCGCCGTTGACCTGCTGGTTCTCAACGCGGGCATCGCGATGGGCGCGCCGTTTGTGTCGCTCTGCGAACAGAACCAGGCGATGGGCACAATGAAGCGCCTGATGGATGTAAATTACATCGGCTCCGTGGGAGTGCTCAACGCGTGCATGGGTTCGATGCGGCGCGCCGAGGGCGGTGTCCGCCTGCTGGTGGTGAGCAGCGTCGTGGGTCTAGTCGAGGGCGTGCCGTGGCGTACAGGGTACGCGGCCTCCAAGTTCGCGCTCAAGGGCTTCTTCAACACGCTGCGCGTCGAGCTCGGAATCTCGGAGCCGGTCCCGCCGACCGTCACGCTCGCGTATCCCGGCGCCGTCAACACGCCCGTGAACAATGCGCGCCTCGGCACCGGCGACGGCGCGGTCGACCTCGACCTGACCAAGAAGAGCATGTCGCCCGACCGATGCGCCGCCATCATGGTGGCCGCCCACGCTGTCGGGCGGCGCGACGTCTTCTACTCGATCGACGGCACGCTCGCTGGCGCCATCAAGACGCGCCTCCTCCGCCACCTCGCCTTCTTCTTCCCCGCCGGCTCGGACAGGGTGCTCGCCAGGGCGATGCGCGTGGGCGAGATGAGCAGCAAGAAGCCGGCGCGACGACAGCTCATGGCTGTGCTGCGCGGCGCCGGCCGACTCGTCATCGCGGGCCAGCGCTGGGCTTCGGACGAGGTCGCGGACGTGTCGGGCCGCCTTTCGGAGCGTGTCTCAGGGCGCTTCTCCGAGCGCGTCTCGGGGTGCTTCTCCATCTCGTCGTCGCGCGGCAGGCGGGGCAGCGGCGGGGAGCCCCTCCCCCGTGCGCGCTCTGGGCTCGCGTTGACCTCAGACGCGGTGGCAGAGGCATTTGACGAAGCGCGGGAGTAGACACGCTCTTGGGAGTACCTCGACTCTCGGGGCTCTCGTTGACCGTCACGCTCGATCATCACGCGACTCTCTAGAGTCTGTCCGTCTCGCTGTCTCGTTGTTCGTGCATTGAAACCCATTTTGTCCACATCCGCACATGCTCCATGTCCATCGTTTTTGCATGTTGGTTGGGTTTATCCCATGTGTGTTCGTGTGTGCGTGGAGTGCCATGCATGATCAGTGGCCATGTGAGTCAGTGTTGGATATTTTGTAAGGCGCGACAAAAGCGGAAGCTTCCCTCTCACACGTCCGCTCAGAGGGCACAGGTGGGCTGACTCACTGTACACTGCCGAGGCTCTCAGCCTCACTTTATCGCTCGTTTGACCTTACTTTACGACGCGAACGGGCAGCGCGTGCGCGCAATTCTCGCCGTCGCCCAAGCGGTAGTTCGCCCCCTCTCCCCAGCCCCAGACGCTGCCGTCAGCCGCCAGCGCGAGGCTGTGCAAGGCGCCCGCCGACACGGTAACGACGCCCCGCCCCGCGAGCGCCTCGACTCTCTCCGGCAAAAGCTGGCTGGAGAGCGTGCCTGTGCGCGGCGAGCTGCTGGCGGTCGGAGGGTCAAGGAAGGAAGACGTTATATGGAGGGAGGGGGCGGGGAGTGAGCGGTGCGGGGAGGGAGGGAGGGGCGGCGGTGTGCACCATGCACACTGGCGAGCACCGAGTGCCGCGTGAAGGCGGCCGCGCGCCCGATGCGCCCTAGAGGCCCGGTGCCCCAGCTGTAGACGGCGCCGTCGACGGTGAGGGCGAGGCTGTGGCCTCCCCCCGCCGACACGGCGACGACGCGCCGCCCCTCCAAGGCCTCGATCTTGGAGGGTTGGAGCCTCGACTTCATACCTCCGTGGCCTAGCTGGCCGGCAACAGCGTCGCCCCAGCTCCAGACGGCGCCATCGGCGGTGATGGCGAGAGCATGCCCGTACCCCGCCGACACCGCGATGACCAGCTGACCGGCCAAGCCCTCCACCCTCTTCGGCAGAGCCAGGGCGGTGACGGGGCCGTGCCCGAGCTGCCCACTCGTCCCCAAGCCCCAGCTCCAGACGGCGCCGTCCGCCGTCAGGGCGAGCGAGAAGCCGCTCTGCCCGGCCGACACGGCGACGACCCGCTCGCCAGCCAGGGCCTCGATCAGTTCAGGGAGGAGCCGTGGCTCCTACGGACACACCCTATCTCGTGCTCCTCTCGGCTCTCTCTCGGCCCTCGCTCTCTCGGCCCGGCGCCTCGTCCCCGTGCCCGAGCTGTCCAAACTTGCCGCCGCCCCAGCTGAAGATGGCGCCGTCGGCGGTCACCGCGACGCTGTGGGAGAGGCCCGCCGCCGCCGCGACCACGCTCCGCCCCGCGAGCGCCTCGACCCGCCTCGGCCGCCGCTCGGAGAGGCGGGCGCCGTGGCCGAGCTGGCCGTGTTGACCTGTCCCCCAGCTCCACAGCCCGCCGCCGTCGGCGAGGAGCAGGGAGTGGTAGCTGCCCGCAACCACCCCCGCAGCAGACATTCCTTGCGGGAGCGGCGGGAGCGGCGACGGCGTGGCGAGGCGTGTGACGCCCTCCCCGTGCCCCAGCAGGCCGGCGAGGTCGCGAGACTCCGAGCCGCAGGTTGAGACGCTGCCGTCTCGCCCGGTGAAGAGGCTGTGCTGGTTTCCGGCAGCCACTTTCGCCAGCCGATTCGCCTCGTGCTGCAGCGCGAGGAAGCAGAGGCGGCGCACGGACCGCACCTCCGCAGGGAGGTCGTACCCTCGCTCCGCCGCGCGGAGGCGGAGCGCCTGCTCCGCGAGGGAGCGCTCGCCCGCGTAGTCGCCGCTGCCGTGGAAGATGGAAGCAGTTGTGCCGGCGGCGGAGACGTCGGCCGGGCTCCGGCACCTGAGCGGTGCGTCCCCGGCGGGTCGGGTTGTGCTGAGACAAGTGTGTTTGACAGAGAAGCGTGGTGGAAGTGGCAGTGGTACCGGGCGAGGATCAGGACGAGGACGTCAGGCGGGAGGTCAGACAGGAGATTGATTGGAGCGTCATCGTGGGCAGCGTCATCTGGGGAGGATGTCACCATCACGTCGGGCGAAAGTGGACGCGCCTACAGGAGTCGAGAATTCTTTTTGGTTTTAAATAGGCCTGCTCTTGTGGCGAGGACGATGGCTTCTAACGAAGCCGTCGTCTGTCTGCCGTCGCTCTCGCCATAGAAGTCCCGCCCTTCGCCTCGCCGACTGAACCACCAGCCCCATCTCCGTTCTCTCTCAGACTCTCACACGTGCCGCGGAACCATCCACATCATCGCTGGCTCGCGGCAGTACGGACACTCTTCCATCAGCTCTGAGCATGGTCCGCAAGCGCACACGTGACCGCACGGGACCGCGGCATGCGATTTCGCTCGCGCAAAGCATACGATACACGTGGTCTCTCCCCCCATGGTGGACTCGGGGACAGCTCGCCTAGCAGTGTGGCGACGACGTTCTCATGGCCCCCTGCGGCTGCGATAATTAGCGAGCTCGGTCCACAGCTGTTGATGCGATCGATCTCCGCGCCGTGTCGCACCAGCGCCTCGACCGCCCGCGGCTTTCCTGCGAGGGCTGCAAGCTCCAGCGCAGTGGTGCCGTTGCCGTTCTTGGTCTCACATTTGCTCAACACGTTGAACACATTGATGAAAGTGTTGGTCTGATGGTTGACATCCGCACCACGCTGCAGCAGCATGTCGACAAGCTCCTCGCGGCCATGCTTGGCCGCGCGTGTCAGCGCGGTGTCTTGTTCAGCGCGAAAGAATGTTCCTACCTCATTGACTCTCGCGCCTTGCTTCAGCAGCATGTCAACCACTTGCTCGTGGC